AAACTTTTTAGATGGAGAGAGTTATGCCATAAAAGCGACACGCCGAACAGGGCTTATATCTTATTCGCGCCCTAGAAGGATAATAGGAAGGAAAGAAGAAGTGAGGAAACCACCTATAATGCGCAGAACTATTTGAGTCGTACCGGCAATTGGGATATCATACCTGGCGTGGTTCCACTGTGATGATGCCATGGCAGATGGAGCTGCTGTTCTTCCTTGGCATTGAGGCTCTCTGTCAATTTAATTAGAGATAAGTTAAGAGTGGCTACCCCCATGCATAAAGGAAAGTCAAGGAAGCTATGATATCATAGAAATCCAAAGCCTCGGCAGCCATGCCCCTAGCAACAGGGAAAAGCGAGGAATAGTCAATGACACGAACTTCCTGCCATGAAGCACTTTCCTTCCCTCCCAAATACCCCTCCAGGCTTCGAGTTGGTTTGTTAGTTTTGTATGCAAAAAGGCACCACACACATCAAAGTCTTTCCATTCGGATCGCTTTCATGACCGTTTTTTAACCTAGGGGGTGAAACCCTCTATCTATCTAACACCGGTAGTGGGATGGGCTTGGAGATGTGAGGGATCTGGATTCGAGACAGATGCATTTTTTTTTCTTTCTATTGTGCCCGTGCAGCAACCTTACTACACGGCTGCTGTTCCCGACATTAATTTATTCCTGTATCAAAATGAGATCAGTGAGAGCATGAGGGCAAAGGTTCATGGGAAAATCTGTTTACAGGTTTTTACAATTATATCCCACCCAACCTAAATCTGTACTCGCGTTTTGTTATTGGTGATTAAGTTTATTGTAGGTTATCATACCGCTAGAAGCAACCGCAAATCACTACCGGTAAGTTAGGCATGAGAGTTGAGTCGAAATAGTTGCCTCCAGGCAAGATCAGCGTTGAGGTTCTGGTGCTGACTAAGCAGGGCATCCGAGAAGAGAATGATTGTGCAGGTACTTTACAAGTATGATACGAGCACTAGTACGAGTACAGTGGCAAGTCAAGTTATTACTTAACATAGAATTTAGCGGTTATTCCGGTATCAATATTATTGACTATTACTGTACTCGAGTATCCTTGACAGATGTTGGGCTGTTCCTGCCAAGATCAGCTTGGCAAAGTCATTTTGCGCGGGGGAGAAAGACAAGTTAGGAACACCTATCCTCAACTCTTTTTTTGTCAGGCCCTGACCACGAATCCTCCTCATTTTCTCTCAACCACCCTTCTGCTCCCACCCACGAGAACTCATCGGATCGGTATGCAACCTTGATATTCTTTCTATCTTCCTTTTTCGTTCCACGCTACTATACTCACATTTATTTTGTGGGCAGGCTACTATTAAGCAATAGGATAAAAAGAAAGTCTGGCATAAGCAGACTTCGGCCTCCTCTTTTACTATGACCGATATCGCAACACCTTCTGTCGCTCTGGGTACAGGGAAAAATTTTGTTCAAAAGCCGGAGAAGCCTGACCAGATCGAGTTCGAGAAAAAGCTCAAGGCTGCTCAAGAGGAGCATGACGAAGTTCGTCAGAGGTTGGTATGTGCAAAACTGCATTCCTTAAATGCGTGAATTTCGGAGTTTTCCAGGGTTCTGAATTTTCCCTTAATCACTCCGGGATGTAATCGGTTTTTCTAACCATCTCCTACAATTTCAGGGCGAGGTTAAGGCGAGGTTAGATCTTGCCCAGGCTCCTGGGAGGAGCCCTCTCCAAAACCAGCTCAAGGATAAGCTTGAGGATATCCGAAGTCAGCAATCCAGGAAAAATAATGACCGTGGAAAGATTGACGAGGAAATCAAGGCAACAGCTGATAGTCTCAAGTCTAAAATAATGGAACTCAATGTTAGGAAGGGAAAACTCGCATACAAGACTCTCGAGGAGCTTGGTAGGGCCATCGAAAACCTGGAAAAAAGCGTAGAGAGAGGGGATATGAGATTGGTTGACGAGAGGAAGGCTCTGTCCGAAATTTGTAAACCCCTATTTGTTATATGTGCGGGACTTAATCACACCGCTAATACTTTGGAATCATAGCCACTCTCCATAAACAGCGCAAGATTCTTGGTATCCTCAACGTCGAACAAAAGGCAATCGACGAAGAAAGGGAGAAACTCGAGGAGCTTAAAGCCAAGAGGAAGGATCCCGAGGTTCAGAAACTGAGCGACGAGTGCGGGGAAATCATGAGGCAACTTGACGTGATCAAGGCCGAGCAGGATGAGGCGTAGATACTCCTACCCCACTCTTCATGTAGAACGGCCGTGCTAAGCCTGTTTTCAGTCTCGGAAACCTGAATATGCTCCGCGATGAACGCAGCAGCCTATACGACCAACAGAGGGAGAAGTGGCAGAAAATTCAGGATCTCAAGGACGACTACTATTCTGCTAGGGATGCTTACCGAGACTATGAAAAGGAGGCCTGGAGAATTAGGAGAGAGAAGAAAGCTAAAGAAGATGAGGAATATCGTCTAGCTATGAAGCGCGAACTCGCACAACAGAAGTTGGGTATGTGATGCTCCCGCAAAAGGCTGAGGCTATTTCTGATGCTTAGGTCTGGGCTATAGAGGAGGCATCGCGGAAGGCCTATACTTCCGAAATCCTCACCTGTGAAGGTCTTGTTGGATACTTTGACCCATCTTCTGCAGAGGCTGCCCGGAAAGCCAAACTCGCCAGTGAACCGCGAGCTCTTGCTGCTCAACCTACTCGCTCTGTCGATGGTAGTCCGCCAAGTGGTAAAAGGCTTACCAAGAAGGACGACCATGAGGAAGACTACTTTGTTAGTAAACCTAAGAAGGGAAAGAAAGGGAAGAAAAATATCGGAACTACCTCGCTGAACCCCGAATCTTCCCCTACTACGTCAGCCAAGTCTAGGAGTGGCAGGATCAATCTTCCAGGTGGTGTCGTGCAAGAGCTAACTAAGGTCGATATCTTGCCTCCCGCAAACAAAGAAGACGTCCAGAGAGTTCTTAAAGAACTAGGGGACAAATTGGCTTGGTATAAGGACAACCAGGACCAAAAGACCAAAGAGGTAAACCAATGTTGAATCGCTGATGCGGCCCGTCACTAATATTATTCTTGTAAATAGAACATCGCTAAGGCCCAGAAAGAGATTGACCGTCACGAAGCCGGGGATCCGGATGGTAAGGAGGGGAACGAAGGCACTAATGGTCATTCAACTCCTAACGAAGAATTCGCCGAAGCTGCCGCTACGGCGGATGTCGAGAAGGAGGACGGAGCTGAGGCGGAGTGAGAGCGCCTATTTCCTCTTTTCTTTAGCTCTTTATTTTTTTCTCTTGATATTCAAAACGCTAAAAACTTTCACGATTTAATGCTTCGCTATGAACACTGGGAGAAAGTTCAGGAGCAGAAATTTTTCACTTCTTATATATCATTCCTTGTCGTTTTTCGCCTTTAGCTGTGCGATATCCCCATCCCTTGGACATTGAAAAGGATATATTAGTTCGGTCTCTGTTTTGGCTGGGGATACACAACCGGGTGTTTCAAGTGCACGGGTTGGGTCAGCTATGAAGCGAAAAGGGATTTTAATGCCTTATAATGAATTCTGTCACCGAAATTGTACTCTTAATACCAAGTTACGAATGCTAGACAAACAGCACCGGCCCGGTTCATGTTCCGCTAGCAGAATTCCACCATCACAACCCTCACTAATTGCGGTCACAGAGTTTCCCCAATCGATCAAATGAGTAAGAACCGTTCTTAGTTGAGTGAGTTCCTAAGTGGTCACAATGAATAAAGAACAGAAATTACACTTGCACCAAAAGCCGGGTTTGCTTACTCTGGTCTTCCGATGGTTGGACGGTCTAGGAATCATTAGCTCCGAGCAGGCCCCCGAAATAGTAGCACATCAATACTATACTCATAGATTCCCCGTATCTTGTGTTATAACCCATACAGCATTGCATTCTAGGTACTGCACTCTACCACTAGAAGTAATAATTGCAGACCACTGCTGTACTTGGGATGATTCCAAATATTGTTACAGCTCAACCTCCAACAAGCATCCAACCTGACAACCTATGCTTTTAAAGACCCTGAAGGCAAGACAAAGTGGTCTCCGGGTGAGAGGTCCTAGGAACCTGAACAAAAATAACCGGATAGACTCTACAGATTTTCCGTTAGTATCATTCTCATTTCCCCCGTAAACTCGTTTGGTTTGAAGTACCAACATCCATCGTCACCCCAAGCAGATCGAAGTAAACAGGAGACAAAAGTGTCGGGGCGCAAGCGGTAGAAGTGACTATTCTAACTTTGCAGGGTGGACAAACAGGTCCCTTAACTAGACAAAAACTCTGCCGTACGTGCTATGCCGGTACTGAGTCATTACAGACATCTCCTTGATGCACATCGTGGTGGGCCAGATGACGATAGAAAAATTGTCTCTATGTCCAACACCGAGTGATTCAATATGACTAATCTCCCCCCCCACCCAGTGCAAGGCCAACTCCCCCCTTCAACCCCGCGATACAAACGCATTTACCAAGAATATCTAGTTTCTGTTTTTTTCCCGAAAACCTATTGGGCTTTTCCATAGAGGCAGAGCTCGCCTCGAGATTGGTATTTCCATATCGTAGAGGTAGAGCCCGCACTGTAGCAACGACGGGGCTAACCAGGGTAAAAAGTAAAACTTCTAGTAAAAAGTACCAGCCGATATCGAGCCAAACCATCGGCCTTGCACAATAGACCAGGACACGACTGCACCCCCCGTCGCCAGATCTAGGCTGGGGGGAGGGGGGGGTTGTGATCCCTTCGTATCATATCATTTTCAATCCTGATTCTTCTCCTCATCAAATCCCCTCTCCATTGCGTGAGCCCATCTTCAATTTGGGATCCCGACGGATCCTAGAGACTTCGACTCGACCTTGTGTCGAACCCTTTCAGAATAATACAGCAGTTCTCGGGGAAGGGGGGAGGGGGGGGCACCATTGTAGATGCTAGAGGGAGGGAGCAACTTAATTGCCTCTTCCAAGTGGATGCGAGCAAATCCAATTTAAATATCGGTCTGTCTACAAGTGGTGAAGCAAGCAATATAGGATAGTTTGCCAGTAGTGTTTGGGAAGTTCTGGTACCGGTATTCTGAATCATGGAGTATCACTCTAGCATACATTCCTTGCCTACCTTTTTTTTTTCTTTTTTCTCTCATTACACTGCTAATGAGCGGTTGAGATGCTGTATAATGCTTGACCGGAAACTTGCTCTAGGCTGTAGGGAAAGGGGCGGAATCAATAAGCGATCCTAGCTTCCTTGTACTATGCACCTACTGCTCGATTAGGTCGGTGGGACTCATATATCGCGACTTTCGAGAGTCTTAAGGAACCAAAAAAGACCGAAGAAGCAAAGGGTATAAAAAAAACGCCCTTAGTACCTTATCTTAACTTAGGCCATTATTACAGGATTATTTCTAGGCCATACAGTGATCACTAGAGTTATTATTGTTGGTTCCCTCAGTGAACCGTCGGCTGGTCAAGCTTTGATAGAACCCCTTTGAAGGACAAATTATTACCAAAAGAGGCAGTTTTCTTTTCTTTCCTTCTTTCCTTCTATCAAAACTGCGAACAGCTACTTATCCAGAGCACAGAGGCAAAAAAGAAAGCGGGAAGCTGATGGGATGCTCGCAGATGTAAGGATGGGGAGGGGTATACCCCGTTTGATAGAACGCCGGACAGTGGAGATGTCAACAAGATCTGACCAATGTTGAGTAACCTCCTGGACATAGATGAATGTCAGCAAAAAAAATGGGTCTCGTTATTCTGGCCTCCTTCTTTGCTTACTTCTTAGTTTGATCATGCAGTGCACCGATTCGTGCAGTACAGCAAGCACGAATTCTGAGTGTTAGCCATGCCAGAACACATCTTGTCCTATTATGGAAGTGCCTACAGCAAAACTCCCTGGTGACTGCGTACGATCTACCCTGGTAGAGCTCCGGTTGAATAATCTGGTATCACGATGACAATTAAATATTATAATTTCGTTTCTTTTTTTTTGTCAATTCCGCGGATTGGATTGACCAATCAGATGGAACCGCAAGGTGTTTTTGGAGTATGATAGCTTGGACCTGGAGATGAAATGCAACCACAGCCTTGAATGGTAGAGGTCATATCATACACCTGGTATGATACCGGTAAGCCGGACCTCCCAACCAATAGAGAGCGTTTGTCGACATACCGGTACCTGCTTGAACGTCAAGCTTCTAAAAAATTCCCATTGCGGACATTCCGTCAGCATGGGCATTGTATTCCCCTCTCCTTATTTAACAGGCATGGCATCGGTTTTCCGAGAGGACCAAAAAAAAACTTCCAACCCCCCCCCTCGCTGCTCAAGAGTTTCCAATGTCTGAACCAGATACTCACATCCCGGCCATGGATTGCAGAAACTAACACAACCTGGTCGTGGTCACAAGCTAATTCTTCCATCCTGTCACACGCACGTAACCGGGTAATAACTGCTTCTGTTGGGGGGGGCTGGTTAAGGCCCCGTGTGTCGGAGTAATCACCGAGACGCCGGATAGCTCGTTTACGCATGAGGGGCCCGAACGCCCGTTTGGTCAGCACCGGCCTTGATCCGTCGGGTCGGGTCAGGTCTGGTTGGCCAAAGACGGCTTGACCCGGACATAACCTTTTTTGCACCGTGATGCATCTAACCATACTTGGACTCCGCACTGCATCACGGCCCCGGCGGCGTTGGGAGACAATCAACCTCACACCGCATGTAAAACTTCGAGCGACGCACAACCCTTTCCCACAATATCCGTTGAATGGTGTAAAAGATTTTTGTCCCATAAAATTTTTGGGAGTGATCTCCATGCGGTCAGATACGGGTCCGGAGGCCCCCCTGCCAGCAAGGGAAGGGAAGGAGGGTGGGAGGCAGGGGGAAGGAAAAGTCGGGATCCCATGGATCATGAAGTGTACTTGTAGTAATTGCTTTATAGCTTTTCAGAGCTATCAGGAAACTTTATTTCACGCGGCCGCCGAGAGGGCGGCTAGTGTCGTCAGCTATGCGGGGGAATTGCCGCTTGTGGTGTGGACCGGGAATCCTGTTAGAAATGTAACCGCAACATGAAGGGGGGAGAGAGAGGGGCCAAAGAACTTGATTGTGTTGATTGTGTTGCTGGCCAGGGTCGAACAGACCATGCTTGTACAGAGGAGCAGCAACATTGCATAGCGGTGAAACAACAGGTCAAAGTAACAAGCACACATATCAAGGGGAGAGCGCCTACAACTAGATAGAGTAGCCGATGACAATTGATTGATTGATCGGCCACGAATGGACAAGGGACATTAGGAGACGCAGAGCTAGGGCAGTGTCGAGCGATATCGAGGAAACATCATGCTCAAAGATGGATTTATGCAGAAGGCAGATGCCGGAAAGCACTGCCAGCATCTCAACAGATTTGGGTTTCGGGATTGGAATGATATCTGTGTGATGGCAGTAGATTAGCATGGAGGTTAGGCTGATTTGAGGGCGTACGAGTAGAGTACATTTAGTGATTGAATTGGTTTTTCGGTTTGGTTAGCTTAGTCATGAAGTAGCCTGAGGGGTTTCGTGGAGTGGGAAGGGTGCGCTAACCTTGAGACGTTCGTCTGAAGTTTCGTGGTACGGAATTTTGTGCAGAGTGGCTATGGCGGAGTGCACCACACAAAACGGTGGTGCCCATGGTGAGGGACCCCCGGCAGTAGGAATAGGAGGACATCCATCCCCTCGCGGAAAGTCTTACCTTTCTTTAAGCCACATACCGTACCTCCATGAAAACCCAAGACGTTCCCATTCTCTCTCCACCGGTATTAATGTGTAGAGAGTAATCCATTATCGTCTAACAGAGTCGTAATTCTCATCGGAGTAGTGGTTGAAAATCCTATGGGGGCTGAGGTTGAGCAGTGCCCCCCGGCAATGTAGCCCGGCTGTGGACGTCCTTGGCCACATTTTAGCGATCCCGTTCGCCTCGTTGTGTATGCGTTACCTTGTCGTGACACTGCGAAAGGATTCCCGTGGGAAGTTCCGCATCATTGGGAGCGCGTACTGTGGTTTTGGTACAGAGTTATGTGATCATGGTATTCTAATCGAAGTTGCTAGGTAGAGAGAATTTTACAAACCAACGCTCAACCTGTATAATAGCATAAGGTATCCAATAGTTTTGCTAGGATCGTCACTGTCACTGGCCAGTAAGGTGTAATGCAAGGGAATTGACAAACACCTTTCATTTCTACAGATCCTAAGATTAAGCGCCTTTCTATAGGTGATCTGCGAAGCAAGCTGCAAGCTGCAATTGCCCGCTCGTGATCAGATTCGCCACATGATATGCTACAGGGCCACTGCCATCAATAGCCCGGCATTCAAAAGTTCTCCAGAGTCTTCAACCATCCGGACCGGGCACTCGTACACATTCTCTACTACCCAAGCTACCTCCATCGACCTTGAACTTTCAAGGCTGAGGGACATCACATCAAAAAAACAAAGCGGGGCATAGCACTCTGCCCAAGCGAGGCCCACAAAAAAGCAAAGAAAAGTGGGACGGACTACAGTACGATAGACTACTCATAGCAAAAAAAAAAAAAAAAAAAAATAGCGGCACGAGGAAGAATACTTGTACCCTGCCGTTCTCCTCACAAAAGACACCTTTACTCCCGCAACCTAATCATTTGACACATCTCGTAACTTGACAGCAACTATCATACTGTTCTCTGCTCCACAGGAGCGGAAAAACAGACCACCGTCATATCCATTTTGACACCCAAAACCCGGGGGATATGTGCTCGGGACAAGGAAAACAAAATAAAAAGTTGGAAAAATCCCGTTCCAGGGAAGGTACGGTAGGGTGGATGGGCCGTCTCTGACGAGAGGTCGCCTGACTGAAGAAATGAGTGATACCACATGACCGCCGAGCTCCATACTTATCCACCTCCCTATCGAGGCGAAAATTACGGTCCTTGTATCGACACTTAATTAAGGACTTGGGCATACCTTTCTGACATTGAGCTAGTCACGCAATCCCATCACATCATCGCCGTGAAAGAAACAGACTACCAAAATTCTCCGGCAGACAACTACAGGTACTCGAGTACAAATGGAGTGACAAGTTAACTCCTCCAGTCTAGTCTGTTCTTGCCCTAGTCTTAATTTGTAGGAAAAAAGTGTCCGTGGTGTCGTATTAGGGACTTTCCTTTTTCGCACCTTGAGTCAAACCCTAGCAATCTGGTTGGTCCAGGGCTTCATTTCCCTGACATCCGGAGAAGATACTTGTGTCACTGGATTGAACTCGCTTTTTTTCTCCCTTCTTAGGGCGCTACCACAGAAAGGGAGAGATCCCTATCCGGTGACATGAGTACCGTAGATAGGCCTGGGGGGAAAAAAAGAAAAAAGCTGCCTTCGCTAAGAATTATTTCCCTTTTTGTTAAGGATTTTAGTGCTTGGTGGGGTGATAAGTATGATACAAGTACAGCACTGTAGGTGGGCAAAGGGAAGTTTCCGGTACGTGCATACAGTATAGTACTGGTTGAGGATTGTACGCCCCTTACGGGAGAAGAAGGGGGAGACGGTAATATGGTAAGGTGAGATAAGGTAAGGCGAGGTAAGTAAGGAAGAAGGGTAAAGTAAAGTAAGGCGTAGGAGAAGCGGAAGGAGAGGGAGAGAAGAGGGAGAAAGGCAGGGTGGTTGAGATGGTCATTGGTTATCACTCACACAGGGGCGCTCGATAACGGGTTGTGCTTGCCTTTCTATCCTGCACCCATCTTCCCAGCTCCCCGACCCTTTGTGCATGCAGTAGCATAGGCCCGGGCCGACTCGGATCACCAGAGGCGACTTGCCATCTTCCCCCCCACACACAAGTTTCTTGATTGTAAAGTCGCGTTTGGTGACTTTTCTCAAGCCTCCCCTACCCTGCTAGGCTACCATAACAGTCCCCACGCAAAAGTGGGCTCTGACAATTTTCCACACAAAGTATCGATCCCACTATTCCCACTATTACTGGACACTTTACGCCCACTGCCTTCGCCCACCTACAGCCTTGGGGTGGCAACGTTGTCAGATATTCTGACGATATTACTCCCAAAACCACCACAACTTGGATCTGACGTCGGAGAATTACTGTAGAGCCCATGATATATCATGTCAAAGAAAGTGCAAAAGAAAATGGGTTAGGCTACTACACGCCAGTAGCAAGGCTTCACGTGTCAATTTTGATCACAGGGGCCAGCGGCCGGGTTACAAGTAGTTCATTCCTCGTAACAGGCAAGAGGTTTACAGATAACAGGGATTTGCAAAATATACAGTATGGCAAAAGTCCGTGCGTGTCAGAGCACCCATAGAAATAGACGATCCCTGATACCGGGTACTTGTACTTCTTGCCTACTACGAGTGGTTCGTTAATAAAGGACGGCTGCTGTGGCGTTAACTAATGCCATTCCGATCCGGGTATGTGGATTTATGTGGGCGGTTTCAAGTAGATGATGGGATAACCGGTACCGGCTGGGAATTTTCGGGGAATTTTTTTTTTTTTTGTTAGTTTACTGCAGTCTGGGTTTGGTATCCGGATTGGGGAAAGGAGGATGGTAAGGGGTGGTTGTTACTTGTCATACTTGTACCAGTGTGGGGGGCTTTGGTGCAGGATACGGAATCGAGCTCCCCTTTTTTATTCAATGGGGATACCTGTACATACAAGTACCTAAGCTCCGGTACTCGAGTACTCATCCCGGGCAAAAAGTGCTGTACTGTACCCGAACGCAGGGATTAAGGGAATACATTGCAGAAAAATTTGTGGGTATTTGAGCACCTATAAAAAACATATCTCCCCTTTTTTCTCCGGGTGCTTCTTGCCTGTAGCAAGTAGATGGAGGCATGCAGGCCGTGGCAGGAGTTGGGTGGTAGAGATCGGGATTTGAGGTTCACGCTACTCCCGAGGAGGTATCATAGAAGTAAAGTTAATGGGGAAAAACTAGACAATTTTCTCCGATTGGCCTGGATTTCCCTTTCCCCTTCTGGTTGATTGGTCGGAATAACAATCAGCATTCTCGATACTTTTACAAGTGCTGTGCGGTACTGGCGTGATACTCGGGCACCCGTGTTTGGAAGTAATAATTCTAAGGACTAGAGAATCTATTATTATCATTGTTTTGTGGAAGGATGGTTTTTTTTTTTGCGCTACCCGCGCCGTTCCTGAGTACTGTACGACACCGCCTCCCCCGCAAATCCCGCTGCCAAACAACCCACAGGCTCAATTCATGCAACAGAATCCGTACCGAAGCAAGCACATACAGCGTTGTGCAGTATTACCTTCCGCACTCGACAAACCCCACAAACCGCCCCCCCCCTGTCTATCCATCCGTTTCCATCTCTCCCACAGCATCGCACAGCACAGCGACACAACCACGAACCCAACCGAAGCGAACACATTACAAATGGCCAGAACCTCGTATTCTCTCTCGCGTGTAGGAGCACACGAGTGATACCCCATGATACCCGGACCACTTCATGACGTATCTTTTAGAACGGTCTCTCCCACTGAACCCTTTTATTCCTCTACCGTGGTTCCTTATCTATGGTATTCGGCATTCTCCCTCCTCTCCACCGGAGCACAGTCCAATGTGGCCCAAACCTTTTATCGAAATCACCTGCTTCGGCTACTATTTTATTTTCTCCTTTTTTGTCCTGGGTCCTGCCCTCAGCGGAAACGGCTACTTGAACCCGACCAGATATGTCCCGCTGATTTAAGCGATCGGTCGGGGCATGTCTCGCGGTACCCATACCTCATCCCTACGGAGCACAATTATGGCAGGTGCTATACATGTCGGGCCCCTCGTTAGGGGACTTTTCTTTTCTTTTTCCCCAACGGTTTTCGTTATTCTAGTTCCGCGGTACTGTAACTGCAATCTCGTTTCTGTTGAAGTTAGGTTCGAGCTGGGTTCACATGAAAGGAAGGCAAGAAATACTCTTTTTTTTTTTTCGGGCCGGGTGGGATGGGAAGGATATTTTATGCGAGCCGCGACAGATATGATAGGATGCAGTTGCGGTTCGGTCGCAGAGGGGGTTCTCGATTTCATTTCAGCTCCTGGAATTCGACAATACATGGAGTCATAGCGAGTCACTCGCCTTGAAAGTTAACCAGGGGGTGTTTGTGAGTCGGTGAGTTACGGACGGTATCATAACCCATCCATAGGCTGCGGTGCACAACGCTGTCAAATCTCATCCGCAGGGCAACTGCTCGAGTGCAAGAGAGCTGTTTACCGTGGGGGCTAGCGAATAGCAAGGCCGGAAAGACAACTGACACACCAATCAGAGTCTTTCCCTTCACTCCCCGTTCATTACTAGTACAGTATAGCCAGGTCCGCTATATCCAGGTGAAACTATACTATGATATAAGCGAATTTATGATCAGCACCGGCAATACAAACCCATGAAACAACCCAACCTACCGTACCGTAGTCGAGTCTTGCCTCCCTCGCTACTAACTGACTACCGTACCGCACTTGTAACTAACTAATTACTACCCAGCGGACCGTGCACACGCACAACAATTAGCCGTCATTTTCCCAAAACCTCAACCCCAACCAGGTACTCGAGTGCATGATCCCTGCCGAGGCATCCAGTCAACACACCCCCCTGCCACATCCAATATCATAGCAGCAGTATGACAGTAGGAAGCACGGCTCAAATAGATGGCTTGTGTAATACGAGTACATTGCTGTGCTTGTAGTACCGGTATGGCAGGTAGAGCCTCAGATCGGATGTTCTTACAGGATATCTGGGCAAAAGAATTAATATGGGTCGGCCAGCAGCAGCTCAGCTAGAGTGGATTACCCGGGAAAGGATGCCGTGGTGTGTATCATACAGCGAGCAACAGCGCAGCACCACACTGAGGGAGGGAAGGAGGGAAGGAGATAGCGGCGTTCGATCGGGTTTTTTTTGCTGGAGAGGAATGGGATGCGCGAAAGCGATGGATATAAATGATTTACTTGTACAGTAGCTGGTATTGAGGAGGTGTTGTGGGGGTGGGGGACGCTTCATCTCCGGTGCCTTTTTGGCGGGCACGGGTGGAATTGAGGAATCAGGAAATTTGATGTGAGGGCAAGGGGTACAGTACTCAGGTTTCTGAGACATTACCATGACAACTACAAGTACTAGACATCTATTGGCAAGTGATAGCATCGGAAACCGGCGTCGTAGGTGTATGCAAGTACACTCGAGCATACACAGGGCGGACCCTCCTCCCCACACGTGCTCGTACTTGTACGTACCATCGGGGATCCCTCTCGCTCTTCAGAGCAACCCGATCGCCTTACATTCAGGGTTCATATGATCAAGCCTGTTAGCTAATAATTATGATAGTTAGTTACACAGACGATCACCGCTCCTGAACTGACACCGGAGTGGTAGTGGAGTGGGAGGAAGGCAGGGTGGAAGATAGAGGAAGAAAGAAAGAAAGAAAGCAAATAGGAAAAGAATAGGTAAGGGTGTGCATGGTGCTCTCTTTCTCTCTCTCTCTCTCGCTACTTTTGCCTAATGTATATTGACCCATTCCGGCATTTATATCCGGTTGTAGGAGTAGTTAGCACCACAAACCTTGCACTGTTCCCTCCATTCCTCCGCCCTAAGCAGTAGGGTTATCCCACCTGACGTGCCGGGCTTGCAGAAATGTGTTGTGCCATACCGGTACTTGAGTTGTCTGGGATATGCAGTACTTCTAGAGCCTCTTGGTTCTCGGGGGAAGGGAAAAAAAAAAAGGGTGAGATAAAGGAATATCACACCTACATAGCGGCCACCCACGGAGAGAAGAGAGAAAACAAGAGGGAAGAAAAGAATAATGGTAAACTATCGTATCATTACATGTTCTGGGGGGGGGGGGGATTTTGAGGTCAGAAGGTCGCTGGAGGGGAAAATTTTGAGTTGGCCCGGACAGAAGCACCGTCCCTTGGGGGTATAGCCGGAAGGGCCAGACCTCCTGGGATCCTTAAGAACACAGACCCGCTTTCCCGTAGGTGTTGTTGACAATGCTGAGCTCGGGAAACACCTTTAAACGATCCGAATGGGATCCTAGAAAAGCTCTATTGACCAACTACATGGCATCACGTACTGACCACCGATCCGCAACCCCCAACCACCTCCTTCAAGTACAGTAGATCCTGAAAAACCCGACCCGACCCAATAAATCCTTGCCCAGAAGCTGAAGAAAGAAAGAGAGAGAGAGAGAACGAACGGCAGGTGCCCCCCGGCACAATACAAATAATGTTGCTTGTGATAATAAGACTTAGTCAAAATTTCTGGGGCCAAGCACGTGGGAGATCTTGACAGGTCTGACAGGGCGTTCCGTATTTGGCAACTTTCTCACGGTAACTCTCTTGCTTGCTTACCTACCTGCTTGCGGGTATTGTGCTACGCTGCCGTGCGGGTACTGCAACTTGCACCGGCTACAGTAGTTATGGGAGGGAGATGGAGAGAAAAATAAAATGAAATACTCTAAGCGCAAGCGAGGGAGGAAAAGCAAGCAAGCAAACTAAACAGGAGGGGGTAAAAAAAAAAAAAGGGGGGGGGGGTTGTCGGATATGCTTATATTATATCTCGGTTGGAATCCAAGGGATACCGTAGTACGGTACGGTACTCGTACTTTGTATGTCGCTTCGCATTGTATCAGAGCAATGGCCCAAGTTAATCACCACAAAGTGTTGTGATACTGCACCCAAGTAGAACTACAGTATCATACACACAAACCCCATACCGTAACGCTACATGGTTGCGAGTCACGCAATAACAACAACCATCCCTACAATTTATGCTACCGTAGCGTTCAGTACTCGTACCGGTACTAGTACTTGTACGTACACGACGAGCCGCCGTTTTTCCAAAACGTATCGCATAGTCTAAGCAAAAGAGACCGTAGATGAGTGAAAGGAAAGAAAAAGGAGAAAAAAAACCCCCCGTAGGTATAATCCCCGCAACCCCTGAAAGCTACTTGTACGAGCACTCGAGTACCAGATGATAACTTACGCACCTCGACGTAAACAATCGTAAGTTATCCTCCTCCTCCCACCCATTTGCTTATCTACGTTACGTGACGTGCGGCTGCTACGGAAACCGTTTTTTTGACACTTCTTGGCGTTTTCGGTAATCTTGCCAATGAGCTGCTGTCCGATTCCGATTTGGGGAATGTTTTTTTTTTTTTCTTCCTTCCTTTTAGTACTTTCTTTACTTTCTTTCTTTCGGTGCACTTATCATACCGGTTAGTTTAGCGGTACTGGTACTGTATTCTATGATACTTGTTGTGGTGGTTCTACCGGTAGCTTATAAACCTACGGTATTGATCAACCTATGGTATCTTGCTTGCCCTGTGATGGTAAATGCCGTATAACAGCTCCCCGTATTTCTTTTTCTTTTGCTTGTGGTTAGGGTCTATCGTATGGATCTTTTTTTTATTTTTACATCGTTCTTCGATTTACGACTTACGGACAGACGGGCAACGAAAGCCATTTAGTCGGTCGGTTCTGTTTTTAGATTATTTTCCATCCTATGGCTATGATACTGTGCTGTACATTTGCCGAGTCCCGAAAAATTACCCTATGGTAAGGTAACACAGGATCTGGTATTTTCCCTCTCTGACGAATTCCGATCTTCTGTACTGTACTGCACATCACAGCGCAGGCGGCGGGCGCAGGCGCCAATTAGGTGCCCGAACGCGGAGATCAAGAGTTCGTATGGCGGATTACCTGTGCTCGTCTGAGCGCCCATACCGAATTCGGATTCAAATGTTCCGGTACTTCGTATTGGATGCTTTCACATCAACATTGCTGGATGGCTATATGCGGTAATCCCCATTGCGATACAATCACGACAGAACTTGGATCCGAAACGAGAATTTGCCTGTATTGGCTGACGCAATATATATGTACGATATGGCAGATGAAGGGGATGCATGTGCGAATCGGTACGAAGCCGATGTGCTGGTGGTACCTCTCCGAGGAAGGACAGGGAGAGAGAGAGATGGATGGACAAAAAGGGTTACACCTACCGATCGAACTGCAATTCTTCCCATGCGTTTCCGGACGAACAACTTTCGAACACCTGCAGTCCACAGGCAGGAGAATATTATATTAGACGCATATTAGCCCAGCGGAAGGCCCGCAAAGGCCAGGGAGGCCCACGGGCGACGGGGTGGAGTGCAGTTGTGTGTGCGTGATAGGTGTTCTATTCCCCTCCTAAAAATACTTCAGAGCTAGCTGCCTGTCTACTGGTTCCCATGCATTTCGTACAACTGTGATAAACAATCATCATTTCGAATCAACCTCAAACAAAAAAAAGTTGGAATAAATCCGGATCAACAGATATGATCGATGAAATGGCCCTCACTCCTGGAAAGTTGACCAATTCGGTAAGGGAAAGGACTCTAACGGATAAAGCGTACGCTGCTAGCTTGGTGCGATAATGAAACGGAGATGTGGTGCAGAATCCATCGGCGGGCTCTGCTCCTGATCAAGACATATACAACACGGGAACGAAGTAAGTAAACGAAGACAGGAGCGAGAAAGACAAAGCCCCCCACCACACACATAGTGAAGAACAACATGACTACACAGTGAAAACACGCAAGAGAAGAAGGAAGGGGAAAAAAAGGAATACCCCTGCGTGTCGACAACAGAGTGAAATCCTATTCTTCGCGCCCCGTGATAAGAGATAAAACACAGAAACATAGACACACACCCTCCCACCGCAATTGCATGCTCCGATATGCACCCTGTATAAAATATTCAAGTATGAGGATATTGAGATAATAGAAAAAGAGTAAACTAGAAATAGATGCAAGTATAAGAAGGTAGATATCAGTAGTAACACAGAACAGTCAGAAACCCGATAACCCAATATTCGAAATCGCTTTTGATCTTGAGCAAAAAGAAACAAGGAAAAAACCAAGGAAAAGGTTATTACAAGATGCATAGGACCCCCTAGCATTCATGAGAACATCCCTCTCATCCTGTACTGGGGTTTTGTATCATGATTCTAAAATGAAGGTGTTTGTTCTAGGCTCTGGGTGTCCTCCGAACAGCTCAATATCCGAAGGAAACTTTCCCAGGTTCCGTGAACTGAGCTCATTTTTCCATCACTGACCATGGCTCATGCTTCCCATAGTGTGCGGGAGCTTCTGGTCAGGTTCTACACGGCCAGCGTTTGTGATGCTGGGTAATCTGCGTCGACGGGCATTTATAAACCAGTTGCTCACCTAAGTGTTTTTTTGTAAGCAGGTGTGATCATCGTATTCAAAGGATTCGTTGAACTCACTTGATTGATATTTAAGCCCGTCTGTTGCATCAGCATCTGCTTCTCGTCCTCCGTGGGATAGGGATGGTGCAGGTGGTCGTTCAGCCACCCTCGGAGTAGGTCGGTGACGTGTTTGGGGAGATTCCCTCGTCGCCTCTTGCCTGGGCGTCCATGGTCAAAATGGTCAATAGCCATGTCGACTGGATGGTTTCCAGTCGAGAATGGTGATCTGCTGTCGACCATCATCGGGTGCCCTAGCCCGAAATTTGCACCCCCCTCTATCCGCTGCGATTGGTTATGTGGTGAATGGTAGTAATGAGGCGAGGGATAATGGTGTCCTGGTGATGGAGCGCGGTAAGAAGAAGAGGAGGAGGAGGCCGCTGTTGGGGCCGTGGGGCGCCCAGAGTATCGCAGATGCTGATCCTGAGGTGACGATTGGTATCGCATTTCAGTGTCAATAGGTGAGTTAATTTGAGTACCCTGCTGCGGAGGTTGGGCATGGCTTTGAGAATGCGTAAATAATGAGGGTAGCGTTACAGAAGCCTGTGACCGCTCCGAAGAGTCTATCTCGAACGAGGAACCCCGAGAGGATGCCAGTGATTCCACAGACGGGAGGTAGGGGCTCTGCCTATTCTCAGCACCGAATGACGACGGAGCTGACGATGATATAATGCTTATTCGTCTCTGATCCACCACTGAAGGCGGTAACGCATAGCTTGGAGCATCATAACGAGCTTCTGGGTCGCTCGGCGTCGTGACTGCCCGACCACCTGTTAGAGGTACATTTCGAACAGGGCAGGCCGGAGCAGCACTAGCCCTTCGCCATTGAGGTGATGAGAAACCGGGCATACTTGTAGAGGTCTCGGAAACGGCACTCGCTGGGCTTTGCGATATACGTCGAGCCGATCGAGATGACGGTGAGTCTCGATCAGCTATCCTGCGGGGTATTGAGCCCCAGGAACCAGAGGAGTGCATCTCGCCTGGAAGATGAGAGTAAAATTCAGGTATAGCCTTACACTACAAGTCAGTCGTCAAGCATCGAACAATCAGGGCCAACATCACTGCACCTGATGCAACGGTGGAAGGGACTGGTCAGCCCCAGAAAGTGTTGACGATGCAGATGGTGCCATGGTCATAGTGGTAGCCATTGCTCTTTTGCGCCCACGATCGTGTGGAGAAACGTCCATGCAGCCAACGGAGAGCCGAAACGCCAAAGTCTTTAATATATATAAAAAAATCCCGTCCAAGTTGTGAATAGTTCGGCAGGTTATCTTATCTGTTATATTTGTGTTGTTTATTTGTTCTTTCTATTGGGTAAAATAGCGTTAGTGGAAAAATTCGGTGTCGTGTCAGATGCGCTTTAACGTGGAAAACTTGGTAGCGATTCCCTTGTTATGAGAGAGATAACATTAACGATAGGTATCGGCCACATGACCGCAGAGCGACTCTAACCCTCATTTCTGGGCGATTGCAGCCAGAGCGAAAGCTAGGATATGTAGAATATCGACTTCTTGCTGCTAAACAAAAATGAGGATCCCTTCAAGGAGGATTAAAAAAAGTCATCTATGCCGGACGGGAGGCGGGGCGCAGTGAAACTAAACATCCACAATGTGGAACAATCTCAAGCAGGGGTTCAAGTATAGAACACGTCTGCTCAAAGGAAGGAATAGAAATTGTGGGCGGTTGAAGGGGGAGCAATGGAAGCAGCGAAGCATGAGGGAAATGGGAAGCGGAGGGGAAGAGATAAAAAGAAAAAGATGGCTGACACCCACCAAGGCGAACTTGTTGAGAGGTCGAATTATAGTATAGGATAGTGGCTTTTATACCGAAGACGCAACAGAGCGAAAAAAATAAAAAGTAACGATGTAATTTTTAAAGAGAGAGGGAGAGGGAGAGAGAGAGAAAGAGAGGGAGAGAAAGAAGGAAAATGGAGAGAGCCGCTTATAGAAGATTCAGGCTGAGCGAAAATTTGGTCGCAATAGTCAGCATACCTTACGGAGGTTTGTTGACCCTGAACTCTGTATAGTGGGAGACCGGGCTTTGAAGGTTGTTCACTTTTTAAAAATAAGAGGTGTTCGTCAGAAAAAGAGGTGGGGAATCCCGAGAACCCGCGATACCGATGATCCCGCAAAATCTGCCAGGAGGCGGATGTACAGGTACTCCCAACCGGCTGAATCTGACCAGGGGCAGGCTAAGAGATGCTCCGGGTACGGTGGCGACAGCGACCAGCTCGAAGTCAAGTATTCCGTACCTGAAAGACGAGGTATGAACGAAAGGATGGAAAAAGGAAATAAAGAGAAAAAAGCACCAACGAATTGCGATGTCCAAACCACACTCGGGCCACACACCACACACACAAGCTCTCACACACAAAGGGCTGCCCGGCTCCTGAAGGACTGGAGAGGCAGATTCAAGTAGTAAAGGGCCAGCAGCCAGGAGTAGCCAGCAATACGAGTATCTGGTATGATAGTAGGTAGTAGGAATAGCTGATAACTGTATGAACAGCAGCAGCGGTAGCAAGGTAGTAAGCAAGTGCAGCTGGAAGCAATAGCAGGGGCGAGAGGCAGTAGTTAAAGAGGTAACAAAGGCGAAGCAGGTAACAAAACCATAAATGGCGATAATGACAATGTCAACGGGACCGAGCAACCACGATTACGGTTTTTGATTCTGTCAAGCGTAGCAAAAAAAAAAAGCTGTGGTAGAGTAGGGGGAGATATGTGAGTAAAGCGGGGTGTGAATAGAACCCCACAAAAAAACAATAAAATAAAGGTAAAAACAATAAAACAATAGGATGGAGCGAGAGAGAGAGAAGGCAAGTGAGAGCAAGTGAGAGATAGAGAGAGAGAGAGAGCAAATAAATGAGGGAGGAAGGGAAGATCCGGAGAGATGTAAACATGGGAAAGACTACGGTAGAAGAGGAAGCAGAACCAAAACTAAAACCACCGCCGCCGGGAATTTCTGCTATCAATTAGGACAGGGCAGAGAAGGCATCATGTCACGCAGAACAGCTGTACGGTCTACCGCTATTCCTCGATGTCCAACCAGGGCACACTTCAAAGTTCCAGCGCGGCCACAACCCAGACAACCTTGCCTGGAACCGATGTCGATCGACAGACGCACCTGGGCCTGTCAAGTCTATTGCTTGTCTTGCCTCGGGCTACTCGGCGGATAGGTGAAGTGCGGTAGTGCTATAACTCTTTTGATTTTTTTACTCTACCTGAAAGCATAGGCTACTGAAAATCCTAACCTTGTAACTTAGGCTTACTCCATATAGGGCATGGGAAGTGAGTAGGGAGAACGAACACTGAGAGGCCTGTGTATGTAAGGAGGAGGAGGAGGAGGAGGAGGAGGAGCGTCAATGCTGCTCTCCGTAAACCATGCTCTATTGCTATTCTACAGTGTACTGTACAGTACAGTGTACTGCACGGGTGTGTCAACAATGGGGGCAAGAGCTTGTCTGACGCAAAGGTTGGGATGTTCAATCGTGCAGTCGGTGAATCGTCCCACCAGAGCTTCCTTCTTCCTCTGCTTCTCTGGACGGCAAAAGAAAAAAAAAATACAGATCACAGAACCCCACACACACTCAAATACAGAGCAAGATTGAAAAGGTAAAAAGTAAAAAATAAAAAATAAAAAAAGAGGGAGACAGTGAAAGGGAGAGAGAAAAAGCATGACGAAAAAAGAAAAAGAGAGGAAATCCTTCCAAAAGCGGATCATGAAAAGACAAAAATTCAGAAGAAAAATACAAGGAATGTAAAACAGAAAAATTAAATATGAGAAGGTCCTGGGTGCCTATGCGGTACTTTCGAGTATAACTTGTAACAGTGTCTACGGTACCCAGAGAAATCCCCACAAGGTTCATGAAAAGTATGGTATTCGAATCGAATAACTCTCCTTCTACAAGTACTCTCCTCACCGCCCCCAGCCCAACGGGGGAGAGAAGTATCAGCAAAGTCAGGCAAAGCAAAGCAAAAGTAAGGAAAAACTATAATATCGCAACCGCACTGCTCATCCGTGCCGGCTGCATGCTCCTCTTGCTGATGCTGCTCTTCCTTTCCCATTCTCATCCCGGCCCCTAACCCAGCGGGCGAAGCCTTCTCGGTCAAACCGTGGACGTAACTCCCTTCCCTCCTCCCCCCTTTCTTCCGGGTGGTATGGTCATCACGAATACGGTCATCTAACTCACATGAAACGTGCGGGGACTGGTAGCTGGATTCCGCCACAACCACTCCTGCTTACCACACAACCAAAACAGTCGATCGGCTTTCCTTAAGATTGACATGATTCCTGTATATGATCGTCGACCCAAGACGGGAATGGTTGTAAAAAATAAAAAAATGATGGGAGCATTCACTACAACCATTACCGGTACTCGAGTACCGTGCTAGTACCGTTCACTACAAGTATTGTATGATACGAGTACAAGCACTAGTACAACCATTCCTGTAACCCCCGGCGCAATCTGGGACATGGGACATGGAACATGGGTCGGAGGGGAAAAAAATAACCCGGGGTGAAGGGAGGAAGAGGAAGGGGGAAAAACAAAAACAAAAATGGACACTCTGAAGAGAAAATGGCCAAAAGGGAGTCAGGAGAAAGAGACAAAGGGAAAGAGAATGAGGAAAGGCATGGAAGTAAGATTAAAAATAAACCCTTGACAGGTAGGCGATTTTGAGGCGGAGAACGGGCATCAGTGTTCCTCACTTGCCCAATGTACTCGAGTACATTTTTTTATTTTTCTACAAGTACTTGTACAAGTTGCAGGTGCAGAACCGAACATCCTCAGCTACACCGGTGACAACATCTGCATCACGAACTACTCCTTCCCAATCACTTTTGGAGCTCAGCTCTAACCTGTCAGTACCGTACAAGAGGTACCGGACTTCGCTGGGGTTCCAAATAATCACAGGACTCGAATACCCGAACACCGCTCAACTTCTCCAAATAGGAAGAAGTGAACTCACACTCTTTACCCATATCCATCCTCCTTCCCCCCCCTCCGACTATTTTCTCTTGCTCATGTCTTGCAGGAGGGAGTGGAAGAATGTATGGCGGGCTTTCCCCATACGCACGTTATTGCCGACAGTGACTTTTGCTACAGTACAGTACTTGTACGATAAACTTGTCTAGTAATTTGGCTGGTTTTTTTTTCTTTTTTTTGTTCTTTTCTTTCGAACATGAACCACGTGTGGAAGGAGGATGGCCGTATTGATTTCTGACTTCCACTCACACCCCCAAGATCTGACATGGCATTAGGTCCAGAAACTGCTTGTAGCAGGGAGGAGGCTATTCCATTCGACAACCACGCACATAACCGGGCAACAGGGCCTTGGGGGGGGGGAGCAAGGGCAGGTGGGCAGGGGGCCAGATGATGCCTGTTGAGGGAGGGTAGCGAACCGAAAGAATTCTGACAAGGATTGCGAGGCGGGACAGGGATATATAGACATGGTTGGCACTGGCAATCTTCCAAATAATCCTGCCAGGGCACCCCATCCATTACCGAGAGAAAGCTGAGGTCGATCGATTCCTGGACAGGTACTACATAGTGCGGATGATTTTTTGCGGTTGCTGATGAACAAGATCCGGAAGAAGGAAAAAAATAAAATAAAAATAAAAATCATACCTTTCACGTTAACCCTAACTTTTATTTCTTGCCCGTCAAAGTCACCGAATAAACGATGCACGGCTTCCATTAGGCATATCTCAGGCGTGTTGCCGGTGTCCCAGAATAGAGGCGAAAAAAAGGAAGTAAAAAAATATGCAGAATAAATAGCCTGACTGTCGCGACCCTCTCGAACGAATAAGGGTCGTCACGCAGGCGAAAGCTATAAGGGTCTGAGGCAACTTTGTCAGGGCTTCAACTGTCATGATCCCTGTAGTACTAAATGTCAGTCAGGTTCATGGATTCGCAAGGAGAGGAACTAAAGGGACGAACTCGACCCAACCCTCCCCCCTCCCCCCACCAGTTTGTGGCTGCGCGCACGAACTATCATTTGACACTGACTGCTGGTAAAAGGACAAGTACTGTACTGCAAGCTAGGGTTGGCTGTCTCCTGCTGCCGTCAACCGTATTTGACGTCCATCAGATTCTAGCATCCTGGCATGATCGATAGACATCTAGCTGTACAAGTATCCAGCGTGATGTATCAGAACATCTAAGCCTGAATATAGTATAAGTATGGGGGCTCAGATATGCATAGATGATTTGCCATGCAAATTTTGGACCCCTGTGCTCGGGTACTTCATACTGTACCCGATGCCTGTGGACCCTGGGCAAGCCTTCTACTTGAGATCTATTGGTCCTAATACTGTAATAATAGCCTCCGTCACCCCCCCCCCACCCCCCCCATCGGGCTTTCGGTTACGGTATTATGCCCAGAGAAGAAATGCTTTTTTTTTACCTTCGATAAATCTGATGACCTCGGCATAAGACCTTTTTTTTTTCCAGCTAGCTACGGTACCGTAGTTGACAGGCACACTTATTCCCTTTGGCTACTGCTGCGGCTGCAGTAGCCAGATATCCGATGTGTTGTCAGCTAGCGGACGTCACGAAAATTCCTAGAACTCGAAGATACGACACTTGCAGGGAGAGCTCAGATGTGGAGATGTGTCTACCTACGTACCGGGACGTGAGAGACGTGCATCGCAGCAGCAGCAGCAGCAGTGCTCTGCCCCTTCGGCAGGTGTATGGTTACCAGGGTTATCGTGCTGTGGTAGATGTATGATGAACTGTCTTGGCAGTATCTTAGTCTTCAATACTGGTATTCCTCACGGTCAAAGTGGCTTAAGGGTTTGCCGTTCATGGGTTGCGGGACGAGCTTGAAACTTCTCAATGACCTCGGGTTGACAGTGAAATAAATGAGCGGGATTCTGACTCCAGTAACGCTCGGATACATTGGTACAGTCTGATAGGTAGGTGTTGGGACTTGATAAAGGAGATGTGCCAGATACCGGTACCAGGGAATCCAGGTACGAATACCGGTACCCCCACTGAAACTAATCCACAGTCACCGATGTGATAGACAGCGGGAATGCCATCTTAAGCCGGCGCTGCCCTGGCGGCGAGACCTGCCGGGTACGCCCCAATTTTTGCTTTTCCCTCCTTGGAGTCTGCAAGTATGATACCTCGGGTGGGCGCGGCGTTACGAAAGTGGGCATGGGTTAGCGTAGAGTTTTTTCTTCTTATTTTCCTCCAGGGCTTCGGAGGAGGTGCTCGGGCTTTTTAGAGCAAGGCGTATGATATGATATGTCAAGCCGGCTAAGCCCCTAAGCCCCTGTTATGGCTAAACCTTATTGATATATTGTCGATTAGGGCCCTCGGTGTGGTTGAAACTTGCAAGTATCATGCTGGTGGTTGTTTAGGAATTGGCCAAAATTCTTAGGATGATTCTTAGGATGTTCGGCGGGGCGAGGGGATCGCACTTGACGGATTTGCTTTGCTTCTCCTAACCAAATCTCCGAAAACTCCTTCTCGCCGATCGGGAATGGCTTAGCGAGAGTAGGAATGATGGAATATTTGTATCTGGCATAAGGTATCTGAAAATGAGACATGGTTTTTTATTTTATTTTTTAGCTGGTTGGGAGGTTGTGTAACAATAGCCCCATTTTCAGATATCGTACTCATCTGTATTGCCAGATACAAGCGGTTCGCAACTGTTCAAGTTATGGAACCTCGTCCCACAGCCACGCCTGGACTCTGACGTTCATCTGCGGATACCGATCGAAACTTCCCGTTTTGCATCGTCCTCTTCAAACCCTCTAAGGAGCTAAATGAATAAACCCAACCGTTAGACCATATGTCGATTCCCGTCCAGGTCAGGCTAGAACTGCCTTTTACCATGGGCCTGAGGGACAATTGTACAAGTATGATCCTATGCTACCTGCATCCTTAAAAACCCTATAATGGTACGAATCTGCTCCTATGGTGCTTTGGCCTCCAGCTGAGATGATAACTGGGTGTTGAAGTCCGAATGAGGAAACTATTGGCTGCCTATCAATACTGGATATGGGGCGGAATTTTTTCTCCTTTGGATAGCAGGCCAAGTTAGACCCTCTCTCTCTCTCTCTCTCCCCCTCTCGCTATTTGGATCCTCGAATCATAATTGACAACTAGGTTATCAGTGGAGTCCCAGTCCCCCAGTATGGGGAGACAGCAGCGGCTATGTACAGTAAACGTAGACAGTGTAACCGTCATTCGTATTATTTACCCAGTGCTTCTGCCGTTCTGCCTTTTATATCCCCCTTAAGAATGCCCACTTTTCATGTAGAGCCAGATTTCTTTTAGTTTACGACCCACGGTAAGCGGCTCGGGTTTGCAGAATGTAGTAAACCGACACCCAAGTCTTCAACACGAGGACGGATCACTACCAACCCCCCTCCCCTCAACCAAGAGAAGACTGGGGCCTATTGTCTTGCTGTTATTACTCTGCTCAGAAAAATCTTCAGGTTTTCACACATTTTTTGCTTTTTACCTTCTTTCGTTCTCGTTCCAGCTCGGGGTTCCTCAATGCCAAGCGTTCTTCTAGGACAGATTTGAAATATGGTGAATGTATTCATCCCAGATCGTACAGTACTCTTAGCAGGAGAGATGTATCCAAGAACAGGGGTCATGAACTTGTGTGGGCGCTCAGATACGGAAGGATTTTTTGCCATATATTTTTGCGAATCCCTGTTTTCGGGTACAGGACTCGAGTACCTCTTGCCTGTTACGAGTACGGTACCAGAAAAAACATAAGGTCGCTCGGTAAGTTGTGGGTGGACCTTGGTTACCGACAGCCATCCTCGAGACAATGCAGAGCACTATTTCTGACCTCTGGTGTTGGGCGGGTCCCGATGAGACAAATGTGGGCTTTGCTTTTCTTGCATCAACAATCGATGATGTACGGCACACGCATGTAATTTATGCCATTTAAACGTGAATGCTCGAGTACGTAGTGGTGTTAATAAAAA